CGGTTGTTTTGGAGTACGAATAGACGATAAGCAAGCTTATGTTGATGCATTATGTTCGACCAATCTGAGCGTCCCAATCTTATATTCATGAAAGAAACCGAGTGAGGCATATACATATTTTCGTACTTGAGAGTTTGTCTTTTCAAGCGTTGCATTTGAGTTGTAATTGAGGTATGCATGATTGGTCATTGGAAGTTTTCTCGACTAAGTTAATTAATCTGAGACATGTCTTATTTGAAACTATTATCCATGCTCGTTTGCTTGTTTTCGTGTCTTTTCTTTTCTTTTTGTTCGGGACGAACAAAGGTTTTAGTGTAGGGGAGTTGTTTGTCCCATTTTTGTTGTGTTTTTCGTTGTCTTTTTGCCGTTCTTTTTCCCCCATATTGAGTCATTTAGGTGGTTTTTGGATCTTTTTGTCGTTTATTATGTGTTTTGCTTTCATTTGTGTGTTTCTTTGCTTTCCGTTTGTTTTCTAGTATTTTTCTGTTCTCTTTTCGTTTTTGGTGCGTAGTTTGGAGACCCCGAGAGAACAGGTTTTCGAGAATCTTTTGGGGAGGCTGACACCATTAGAAAGAGGGGCTCGTTAGCGACGCGTAGAAAAAAACGGAACTCAATTCTGAGTCAGAACGAGCCCGTACGAGCAAAAACAAAGTCGACGCGCAAAGCTGTCGGGGCCTTAGCGCCGCTAAGGCCTTAGCGGCGCTAAGGTCACTGTGTTTAGCAGGTTTTGGCAGCTAAGAAGGGCTGACACGAGCAGCTAAGATGGCTTAGCGGCGCTAACCCCTTAGCGCCGCTAAGACCTATTTTGTAACAGGCGCGATTTTCATGGAATTCGAAGGGGACATTAAAGGGATCGAGCCTAGGGCTTTTGGGGACATTCCAGACCTCGTTTTCTTATGCTTTTTCACTACTAGAACACATCTTTCACTTGTCTTTTGCTTAGATTTGATCTTGGAGAGTGAAAATCTCCCTTTTAACTTTTGGATTTGGATTGCTATCGGGATTTGACATTGAATTTCGTATTAATCGTAAGCTTTCTTTTCGTTTTATTTATGAATATGATGGCTTGGATTATTGAGTATTTTGATGTTGAATCGATCATGAGTAGCTAAATTCATATGCTAGGGAATAGGGGATTGAAGTTTTGATTTCGTTTGCGATTATCGTGTTCGTGATTGCTCAATTTGTACGAGTTAAGCTTTTCTCTAGGGTTTTCATTCATCGTTCTTGGATTTTGAGAATTTTTGAAGGGTGACACTTCAATCTCCAATTGTATCAATTGAATTCGATAAATTCATGCATGTTGTTGATAATTCTAAATGGATTAGTGGATTAACAACCCTCTAGTCTCCTTTAATCGACTCTTAGAACCGAAAGGGGAGGAGTCGGTCGAAATAGGCTCGTATAAACTAGGCTTGTTCGTAATTGTATTGCCTAGGTGTTAAATGACTTGTTTACTTGTCGTTTAAGTTCGTTCTGTTGTTACGAAAAGTTATTGAGAATGAGTGCTTGAATGTGCCAGTTATTCAAATCACTTAACCGAACAATCTCTTGCTTGATAATTGCATTTTCGAACCAAAATGGATATCCCCGACTCCCTAGCTCCCTAAATCTTATTTGTTCTTCGTCTTCGTTTGCTATTTTTACTGTTTTATTTGAATTCTCGTGCTAGTTGATAATTAAAACCAAACCCAATCATTTGAATTAGAATGTTTAGGTATTTTATTTCTTTATTTTCTTTTATTGTGTTTGAATAAAAGTGCAACTTATTCCGGCTGACCTTCCTCGAGAGACACGACCCGGTGTCGAATCTTTCGATTCTACTCCGGTAAAAATATACACAACATGCATAGGGAAGCGAATTTTGCGGCTGATCACTTGGCGTGTTTGGCGGCGTCCTACCCGATTGGGCTACAGCGATTGTCCATCCCTCAAGTCCGGGGATTGGATTGAGCATTATAGTCGAGGGTGGCGTACTCCGGCAAGTTTTAGTTTAGACACATGACCTCCTTCATTGTAAAAAAAATGTATATTTATATTATGTAAATGTAATACTATTGTTTATGTTGGTTACTTGGTTTTTTTAGAGTATAACGTGTATATCACTTTATTTTGAAAGCACTCACATCATGTTGAAAGTTTATATTTGCCTAAAAATTGCGTTATTAGTGGATAAAAATACATAATTTTTTTTTTTATAATGTGACAATTTTTAATGAAAATATGCATTTGTAAAAAAACATTTGCCTGTTTAATGATTAGACGACTAGTAGAAAACTTATACTTTTTGCTAATTAGCACCTCATTTTAATAGTTTAATCTTATGTGAGTTCTTAGTAAAAGTGATAAATTTGGGGGTATTTTTAATAAAAAAGTAGTGTTTCTTCCTTCGTTGAAAAGTGGAACAATTTTGTGCATGTTAAACAATAAAGCTTGCAAGTATTGAAAAATCAAACAATTTTGTAAATGTAATTAATAAAGCTCTTAAGTTTATTGGCAATGAAATTGTGAAGGTGGTATGTTATCTTTTCAACTTCAATCCTAAGCTTACACGCTGTAAGAATCGGGGGCAAAACGGGTGCGGTCTCATGCACATGAAGTGCGCCATAATTGGAGTCTAAATGAAGCTCTAGTGAAGATCCATTTCAAAACCAATTGGTTGAAGGAGGAGAGACCCACTAAACTTATATGGTAGGCCTATAATCAGTATAAACGATGTGAGACAACTCACAAGTGTTCTAATACGCCTCCTCACTTATAAATTCTCATACGAAGCCCAGGTCAAACTAGACCGGGTAACGGGTACGTCATCGTCAAGACTCATGTAGGCCAGCTCTAATACCATTTAAGAAACAGAGGGGAGAGAGTGGAGGAAAAAAGGTGCGGTCTCACGCACGTGAAGCGCACCAGGACAGGGAAAGCCCAGATGAAGCCCAAGTGAGGTTCATCCAAAATCGATTGGCAGTAGGAGGAGGGGCCCACTAGGCTTATATGTTAGACCTATGTTCTCTGTATAAACGATGTGAGACAACTCATAAGTGTTCTAATACGCCCCCTCACTTGTTTTAATAGGCCGACTGTCACAGGGTCTAGGTTTAAGCTAGAATCTTTTGCCCACTCAGCACCATATGCAATCTGATTTCCCACAAACCAGTCAGCCTTCTCACCGTCCATCGAACATTCGCTCGCCCACACAAGTATCGTTCGAGGTTAAGAAAGCATGTCACTCACCCACGCAAATGAGAGCTATCAAGTAAATGAGCGACACACAAAATTACGGGCTCGCGCCCAACCAAAGTATTATTATCACACAATGTACAATTGAATACCCTACGACTCTCATACACGGTTCAACCCACACTCTTGTGCACGCAGGTACACATACTCGTATAGTAATACCGACCTTATAGATGTTGGCCTTACACACGCTCGCTATAACACTTTGCCATATGCCAACTCACGCACTTACGTAGCATACAGTACGAAGACTTCGCTCGCACCCTAGCTCGCTCATCTTTTTTTGCCTCACCTATTGCATCCTCGTGTTTAAGCACTCTCCCTCAAATGCTCTTTTCGAGTTCTTTTCAAAGTGTGTATCGCGGCCACTCGCTTGAGAATATATTTTTGCTCTTTTGCTCGTTGTCCCGCACAAATGCCTGCCTCAGCCTATTTATAGGCCTCGGGTCTCGCAACACAACAGCTTGGTAACTACACGACAGTTTTGTACAACTACACCCTGACACGTGCCCATATCTTCCCGATGCCAACTCAGCCTAGCAACGAACGAGCGCCAACTGCTCGTGCATATCTTGTCCAACTCCCACACATGTCAGAAATTGTCTCGACCACGTGTCTCTAGAAACCGTCTAGTCACGTGCCTTGTTGTCCTTTGTTCCCACTCAGTTATTCCATCCCGAAGGAATGATCCCGCCTAGACCACGTGGTATTTAATAACCAACTAATCAGCGCGAAAACCTCATGCACCATTCAAATTCTAATCGTTCCCGCCAATGGCTTAGACGCAGCACCAACACTCACACGTGACCATGTCTTTGTTTGGTTAGCCAACCCCATCGTCTGAGCTCATCGGTGTGCACGGGTGTCGCCATGCCCGCGCCTTACCCGAAAAGTATGTGAAGTACTGCGCTGCCTCGCACTGTACTGTCCCGATCTTAGCGCACGTACCCGCAAAGCCATGCACAACCCGCAGCAACTGTCGTCCGACTGAGCTCTCGACTTATCCAACCAACCTGATGTACGCCAAGACCCCACACTAAGTCTTTGACCCATCCCCACACGATCCGACCAGCACTTGAACATAGATAGATGAATCTCACACATATGTCTTCGTGGCCCCACAAAGACCCAACTGAATCCATTCAGCCACAAGGACGCCTCAACTCGCATCCTTCCCTTAGTCGACGCAGTGCACGCAAGTGCCCAAGTCTTCTAATACCTTGGCACGCTAAGGGCCGTGTCTAAGTCCCGGCCCTAAAGTTAGGCCTGTAACATTGGCTCTAATACACGCTTTACCTACCTTACACGCGAATTAAAATGTATTTGTTTACAATGTTTGCTATAAAAGAATAAAAGTAATCACAATGTGTTTCAATGGACAAAATTTGTTATATGGTCAAGTAATCAAATATTTCAAGGCTCATTTTTTTCAAAAAATCAAGCAGAAAATACTGCAACTTCTCTTTTGTTATCTTATAAAATCATAATGTGCCGCTCTCAACTACTTTTATAAATCCTTATATAATTTTTTATTAGATAATTTATTCGAATAAAAGATACTATAATAATATTTTCCATAACAATATTTTACCCAAAAAAAAAAAAAAACTTTATATTGGCGAAAGTCGTTACCTTTATTCCATTCCCGATAACGATTCTTAAGCTTGCAACAGTGTCCCAAAAATCCTAAAATTTGTAGCGGCTGCTTTTGTGTGTGTGTGTGTGTGTGTCTGCGCATTTGAATTTGGTGAAAAGAAGCGAAAATGGCTTCAGAATCGAACAATCTCGGAGAATTATTGAGGCCCTTTTACCGGAGAGCTTCAGAAGCAGAGGTCTTCAACTATAAATCTTGATTTTTTTTTTTATTCTTTTTGTTTGTAATTCTCGCTATCCGTGCTTGCTTTCATGGGCTTTTTTTCTTTATTAGATTCTAGTTCTTTCTGTCCTAAATGCTATAACTATGGTTATGGAGTCTTTATATGACTTTGATGGTATAACTACTAACATTTTACTCATGTAAGACTGTGAACTTGAATTCAAGAGAGACTTCCAAAATTTGAATCTTGGTTAGTTTTCCTTAAGCCCATAGTTTAATCAGTAGTTTAGTCAGATTTGAATCCCTTGTAAGTGTGTTGCAAATGTGCAAATGCTTCAAATGTGCAAATGCTTCGAGTCACTATTTTAGGAGTGAGTAGTAGACATGACCAGATTATGCAGCAAAATATGGTTTCATTTAAACCTTGAATTTTGTTTGGTTCACTGGAAGCTGTTGAAGATGTAAAAATTATGTGTTCATATACTAAATTACCTACTGCTTGGCATGAAGGACCGATTGGGAAAACTTGAAGACTTATTGTCGAGAAACAAAGGTATGTGTGAAAAGCTTTATGTACTTACCGAAGATCGATAACTCGTTATAAAACGCAGCACGCTAATTGTTGTGATGCTATTCAGAATATGGGAATGAAGAACAGAACAAGTTAGTGAGTGAACTCCAGTCGGAGCTGGAAAATGTGAAAGCTGAGAAAGTTGCCGAAAGAGAGAAGGTGTTTTATATTCTAATTATTTCTTTTTGTTCTCTTTTTTGGTTCTCTCTCTTTTTTCAAAAGTTACCGGTGTCGATTATTTCTGTCAGGCCATGAAAGAGGTTCAGCATCTTACTACTGAAAATGCGAAGCTGCAGTATCGGATAATCCATCTTGTTAGAGCATTAAAGGAGGCTGATAGCAAATTAGCTGCAAAATGAGGTAATAAATTGGATACTTATTTATCTCTGGCTCTTATTTTTTCCATCACCTTTATCTCACTCATTGAGAACCACTCGGTGGTATGGTTAGCATAGTTATTTATTACCCTTTGAATTCAAGTACTCAGTTTTAAAATTGAGGTTTTCATGAGCGTTTCAGCCTGAAAACTAATTGTAGAAATAGATAAAATGGTTACATTTGAAGAAAATAAAAATATTGCTTGTGTCGGGGCATGAGCTCAGGATTAGTCACACGTAGGACACTAGGACTTCATACTGCTCAAATTGCAGTAGAGCTAATTTCTCGTTAGTTGCTGATATCATTCTTATTTTTATAATCGTATTCTGTTTGCTTGATCCAGTGACTTGTGCTGTACGCCCAACAAAAATGGTGGTGTCCACTTTGTTCTGATGCCGATTCTCAGTCATCATGTTGGAAGCCACGAGAACTATTTGATTTTGTGATTGGATACTTGGTTTTTGCCAGCTTTTGATGACTTACTTTTTCGACTGTAGTTAAGTTTCTCGAAGGAATGTTATAGCTTACATTTGGATCGACATTGTATGTCTTTGCTGGCTGACATTTTAGTAGTTCCAGGTTTCACCTGTATACAGTAATGTTTTAATTACCCAAGTTTATTGTGAACACAATCTTTTCTCTTGATAATTTATGGAAAATGACCAAGAAATCTGATTGTGATTTTGTGGATGGTTTGGGTTTTTACGCTTTTTATGTGCGTGTGCGGAATTAATAAAGCTCAACAGTGCTATTTTTCTCCCCAACAATGAAAAGCTCAACAGCACCCTTAAAGACAAAAACACTATTTCCTTGTTTAAACATGTATACATGCAGTTGGTGATTACAGTAAGATGTCAAAACATGTACACAGCTGAGACTTTAAACTGCCTAGTATAAGCACAAACTCATATGTCTGGTCAGTCTCTAACCACTATTTCCTTTAGCTGCATTGTATTCACAGTTAAAAAAGAAAAAGAATACAACCTCAGCATATATTGTATCTGTAGACAAAAATCCTGTTCTTTTCATTTGCATTTGTGAACTGTTAGATGGCATTCTTTTTCTTTTTTTCCTATTCGGGCGAGGGGCTCTTCCTTTGCTTTTCAGGTGAGGGAGTCGAACTCGAATCAACATCGACTTTCGATGCACCACATGTCTTGGTTTGTTGAGTTCCATTGTTGCTTCTCTTTTGACGAACTCCAAAGTTTTCCCTTCCCTCTGATTTTTCTGTGGATGATGATTCAACTTTTTGAGCCGCCTTACGTTTCCTTTGTGGTTGTCGGCTTCTTGTCTTAGCTTTCGAAGTGTCCAGTGCCTCATCTGAATCTGTTATTTCTGGAAGTTTTGTTTTAGTACTCTTTCTTCTTAGTTTCGTTGATGGCTTTGTGGGGACTACGTTTTTGTGGACTGCAGACTTACATGCCCTTGCTTTCCGTGTCTTAACTGAAGCTCGAGTTGTATTCTCGACATCCCAAGATTTCAGGACTTTTTCAATGAATTCCTGATTTAAAAAAAAAAAAAATGGCAGATTAAAATTCTTATACGCCCTTGCTTTGTGCTGGGATTTTTTTTGTGAACCGGAACAGTAACAGCAACCTCTCCTTCGGTTTCAGTTGACTCCAAATGTGAACTAGACTCTGTGCTTTCACGTTCAAGCTTCGGTCGGGCGGGCTTTGCTTTCGAAACAACCAACTTGCCGGTGGCCTTCCCTTTCCCCTTCTCTTTTGAACAAACTTTTCCGGTAGAAGCATTCGCAGTTGTAGATTTTACCTCGGGTTCAGGTGGCTGGTGAGAGAGACAGGAGCAGAAAAGATTCATAAACCACATCTAAGTTAAATAAAATGTGTGCTACAAAAACAAATCCTAAGCTTTTGGCTAATTACATAAAGTTCGATTACCCTTTTGAAATTATGAAGTATTAATCAAACATGGGAACTTTTGTAATTGTGAAACGTAAACTGGAGTCTATGAATAGGCTAATACTCAGGGTAGTTCAATTAAATTCCCCAGAACAAACATGTTTCGTTTTACTAACTTACCTCTTGCTTAATGGAACTTCCCTTTAACTCATCTGCACTTGCTTCCTGTGTCTTAACTGAAGTTTGAGTTGTATTCTCAAAATCAAAGGATTTCAGGATTTCAAAGAGTGCCTGATAAAAAAAAAATGGCAGATTAAATTCTTAATGCAATGCCTGACATGTTGCCCTATCAATATAACCTAAAACCCATCTTAGAATTTTCTGGAAAAAGAGAACATGTCGGGTAAAATTTAAGTTGCTGGGAATATTTTCATGCACTGTAACAGTAACAGCAACCTCAACTTCTGTTTCATTTGACCCGAAATGTGAACTAGCCTCTCTGCTTTCACGTTCAATCTTCTGTTGGGCGGACTTTTCTTTGGAAACAACCACCTTGCCGGTGTCCTTCCCCTTCCCCCTCTCTTTTGCACTTGCAGTTAAAGATTTTACCTAGGGTTCAGGTGGCTGGTGAGAGAGGCAGTAGCAGAAAAGATTCATAAACCATATCTGACTATACTAAATACAATGTGTACTGCAAAACCTAATCCTATTCTTTTGGCTAATTACAAAATGTTCACGTATCTTTTTGAGATTATGATGTATTACTCGAACAACATTTATATCTTCTTGAAAATGTGAACAACATAGAAACATTTATAATTGAGAAAGGTAAACTGGAGTCTATGAATAGGCTAATACTCAGGGTAGTTTAATTAATTCCCCAGAACAAACATGTTTCTTTTTTCTAACTTACCTCTTCCTTAATTATGGAACTTCCCCCCAACTTAGCAGAACATGACATTTGATTCCCTGGTACTCCATGCAACTTGTCACTCTCACATATTTGACTAGTTGCAGTAAACTTGCGAGTCAAGGCATGCGGCTCCTGCATGTAGTTGAGGAGTTGAAATATTCTTTTATCAATAGAAAAGGAAGGACGAAAGATTAAGAAAAATAATAAAAGAAAAAAAAAACAGATCCTTTTCTTAAAGGAGGGAAATAGCTGATATCCAAATTTCAACCTGTGGGGTGGTATTTGATTTCTTCTCTCCAAGTGCCATGGCAGTATTCTTCCTCTCGTATGTTTTAAGTGGACTAATGCTTTTCATTTTTTCCGCTGTGACTTCATGTCCCGAATTGCTTGATTCCAACTTCTTCTCACTGATTCCATCGTCTGGTAGGATGGGCACACACGCTGTGCTACTTTCAGTCTGTTCTTGTAAAAGAAAAGTCTTCTGGAGTTGAGTGATTCGAAAAAAAGAAAGTTCCAAAAATATTGTGAGGAAAATAAAAGGAACTAAGAATGCTAGTAAAGCTTACCTTCATGCTTTTTCCCGAGAGGTGATTGTCCAGCAGAGGCTTCACCAGGACATACAGTCTCTCAGCTACTTTATCAGGTTGTAGTATTTGAATCCCCTGTAGAGGGGAGTCCTCTGCGATTTCCTTCTTTAAGATCTGTATCAAAATATTGAGATAATCGATTTTTTCTCTCAAAGCAGAAGAACATGTTTTAGACCACTCCTCGTCATCCCACAACAGTTGACATTGAAGCATTGTTATATCGCCTTTGAGTTTCTTGATTTCGTCATCTGCTTTGTCGATCCATATTTGAAGGACTTGTATGCAAGCTTTTTCGTTCAAGATATCTTCTTCAATCACATCTTGTGAAAATAAAAGTAAGAAATAGAATATAAAATAGAGAATCGCGATTGAGCAGATTGCACGTCTTTTGTATGATGAGTTTCTGAAATCACCTGTTAAGAAAAACTAAAGCATAGACCAGAATTAGTCAACTCACCACGCTGAAAACCAAAAGAAAGGTAGCAGTTCTGGCTATTTTCAATGTCGGAGCCCGTCTGCCCTGCAAAATGACATAAACCACAAATGCGTAATTCGAACGAGGTTTAAGTATAATAGATGACAAACTAAATCCCAACTTCAATACAATCACTGAGGACAGCCAAAAATGGTCTGCTTACCTGCAGTGAGGTGATCTTCATCGTTGCACGGATCCCAGAGAGGCAAATCCATCGCTTTAATACAAAACAAAAATCTGTTTAGCAGTATAAACTGAATGGAAAAAAAAAATTAGAAAATACATTCCATGCACATGATGATCAGAAGTCAAAGACATTATTCACGCTCCCTAATGTGTGTTTGTTTTCTTCAATTGTAAGACTGAATAGCTTAAGAATTTGTAATCTCTTAGCTCAGACCATTTACATTATATCAATTTCTTTCAAATGTGTCATGACTGGTTAGCTTAAGAACTGGCAATCTCTTAGCTCAGTTTAGTTACATTATCTGACAGTGTATAATAAAAATTTGAGCTGTTCGTTCTCAAATATATCTCTTTTTTCGTTCTCTGTGACTTGCCACGCATCATTTTCTTGCATCCTTCAATAAAGAAATCAATTGAAAAACAAGTCATCCTTCAGCAATTAATAAGAAAATAAGAAATGATAGTTACAAGCATCGACGCTAAGCAGTTAAGCTGAGAAGAAAACTTAATGCTGCTAAAACCAGATTCCTCGCGAATGAATTGATTGCTCTATCTCATGCTCTAATAGATTATGAAGTGTTTAAGGTGAAAAATGAATAGTAACACGATTCACAACGAAATAACACACAGAGTTAAATCCGAGCTATGCAAGAATATGTGCACCAATCACATACTGAATATTTGAGAACACCAAAGAAAAAATACCAAACGTAAAATCCTGAACAACACTAACATCAGTGCACTAACGCCATTTTCCTTATCAAACCATTGAAAAAAGGCATCGAGCGTCAAACAAAGCGAAAAAACTCAACGACGCCTTGTTGTACTATGATTTTCAGAGACTGTACTGAAATTGAAAAACACTGTTCATCGCCAACATTTCACAAACACAAAATCCATTAAACAAAGCACACTCACACAAATCACGCATGATTACCAGAAAAAAAACAAGCAACAAGCATCCCCGTGAAAACGAATCACAGAAAACCTTCGAACAATTAGACAGATAAACGAACAAAAAACACCAGTAATGTTCGTCAATGCCTTTCATTCCGCCGACATAAACATAGAAGAAGCTCAAATCGTCCCGAGCGAAGATCAAATCTTACTGAAGCAAACAATAAAACGTCGATTCCACAAACACATATGAAACGAAGAATGCTCGCCCAAGCTAAGACGAACCAACAATTAGTCAGCTAAACAAACAAACCACACCGAAAATGTTCATTGATACCTTTCATTCAGCTGACAGACACATACAAGCTGAAATCGTCCAAGCGAAGAAGAAAAACTTACTGAAACGAACAATAAACGTCGAAAATCGGCAGATAAATTAGAAAAAACAGAAAAAAACTGCAGAGCAACTTACCATGAGGAGTACCTGAAAGTATGGAGTGGAGAAGACGAGAGGCCTCTCACTGTCGAGAATGAGGACGAGATGTAAATATAACTGCAGCTTGCACAGGGGCATAAGTGAAAATAACAGAAAGTTTATGGGAGAAAGCGGGAAACAATCTTGTGTCCAGGCGTAACTGTCCGGTGTCCTCCAATTTCATCTAAAGTCGCATAAGTGAATGCAAAGATTTGGGGACAAAGGGTTATTAGTAGAGATGTTAAACGGTCCTTGGCCCGACGGGCCGGCCCGTTTAGCCCGGAAAAAAACAGGGTTAGGGCTTTTTATTGGTAGCCCGTTTAAATCAGGGCTTTTTAGGCCCGGACCGTTTAAACCGAAGCCCGTTAGGGCTAGCCCGAAACCCGCTAGGGCTGGCCCGTTTAACTTGAGTTGGGCTTGTAAATATTTACAACAAGTAAGTAATATACTCTTAGATTCATTGTATATTACAATTTTCTATTCCACTTCACATATAAGTATGAGCTGTAACGGATTATATTGATTTTGAAAGAT